AAATAATTTTTAGAAATTGATTGTGGTAATAATTTCAAAATACTACTTGACATGATTGAACTAAGGAATGATATGATATGAGGGGGTACCCAAAAAAAAACACCCGCTAAATGCTCTGCTGGGCAGAGTTTTCATAGTATGAATTTTTCCCACTAGGTGAGCACCTAGCAACTCTCTCTGAGTTAGCCCACCCAGTGGTATCACCTGGGAAGGTTCTCTCTGGTGACAGTGAATTTTTTTCTAAAAGTAGTTTCGCTCGAACTTCATTTTTTGTGATGGCCAATTTAAGAGAGCAGAGTGTGGCTGTGAAATTTTGTTTCCTGTTTGGGAAAAATGCTGCAGAAACTGTTCTGATGCTGAACACAGCTTATAAGGACAGTGTTATGGGAAAAGCTCAAGTGTATGAGGGGTTTTCTCATTTCAAAAAAGGTGAAATGTAGATTGATGCCAAACCTCGTTCTGGACATCTGTCAACTTCCAGAACAGATAAAAATGTTGACAAAATTCATGTACTTGGGCTTAAAGACCTACGATGGACATTGAAGAAACCGGGAAGTTATCTGGACTGTCTTGGAGCTCGGTTCAGTGAATTTTAATGGCAGATTAGGGGATGAGAAGGGTCACTGTGAAATTTTTGCCTCAGGTTCTGACTGACCAGCAAAAAGAGTCAACTGAAAACATCCTGTGCTTTGAAAGCACAGCTCCTACGTGACCCAGACTTTTTGTTCCAAGGTTATTATCAGGGAGGAGACATAGTGCTATTCTTATGACCCCAATAGCAAACATCAATCAAGCCAGAGGAAAATGCCATCATCACTTTGCCCCCAAAAAGCTCTTCAAATGAAATCAAAGATCAAGATGATGCTCATTTGTATTTCTGATGTGAGGGGGATAGTCCATTTGGAGTTCATTCCACCAGGTGAAACTATTAATCAAGCTTTCTATTTAGAGATTCTGAAAAGATTACGTAACAGTGTGAAACAAAAAAGGACTGATTCATGACAGAGGGGGAACTGGTTTTGCCACGATAACAATTCACCTGCTCATGCAGCCATCTCAATATACCAGATTTTGGCAAAAAAGAGCATACCTCTCTTGCACCATGTACCTTACTCACCTGACCTCACTCCATGTGACTTCTTTTTGTTTCCACAAATGAAGAAGAATGTCAACAGACAGAAATTTGATGATGTAGAAGAGGTGAAGAAAAATCAAGGGAGGTGCTTTCAGTCATCCAAACAGATGAGTTTGAAAAATGTTTCCAAGAATGGGATCGCAGATTTGACAAATGTATTAAGTGTAATGGAGACTACTTTGAGGGTTATAAGGTTGCTTTGTAAAAAAAAAATCAAATGCATAACTTTGAAAAAATCCATTTTGGGGGGTACCCTCTTGTATTTATTAACTCCCAATTAATAATAAATATTTTAATTAATAAATTTAATTTTAAAAAGAATAAATGAGATTAATAAAAGAATATGTAAACTGGGAAAATGAGTAGACCACATAGAGAGATCTTTGAGAAATTTAGTAAAGCAGAGAGAAAGACACTACTGAATTTGTAGTACAAATGAGCATCATCTTGATCTTTGATTTCATTTGAAGAGCTTTTGGGGGGCAAATGACTAGAAGCAATGGTCACAGCTAAAAGAATCCAAAAAGAGTGGCAATTGTATGTCATGAAGGCCAAGGGAAGGAATACAAAGCTCTAAGGTAAAATTGATGATTTGCATCAAACACTGTAGAGCGGTCTAGAAAGATGATGGCGGAAAAGAGTCCACCATAATTGGCAAGTATTAAACCACTGGAAACCTTTGATAAGACAAAAGAGGAGATCTGATTAGCAAGTGAAGTAGTCTCCTATAAGGCCCAGTGATGACTCTGCCCATTACTGCCAAGGCTGCTTCCCTAGTCCCTGATCTTACCCAAAATGAGCATAGGCCATGCTTCACATACAATCAGATGGTTATGGAAATAGAGGTAGAAAAATATTTGACAATATTCAAAGCTTATTTGTGACTTGAAAATATTACAACACAATGCTGACATGGAACTACACAAGCAACTGCAGAAGAAAGTATTGACTGAAGTCCAATAGGGTGAGGGTGCTTTGAGGTATATTGGTTGATCATCACGACTGGGATGCATTTAAATTCTGTCAACCAAGCTTTGTTGGAACCTTTCCAGAGTTGCTTTCTCAGAAACATTTCAGGTTAGTCAGGAACACAAGAGGTCATTTGCACTTGAAAAGTCATAAGGGCATGAGAGCATTGGGCACTTTGTGTGTTTATGAATCAGTCACTGGCATCGAGTTGATATTGACTCACAGAGACCCTATAGGACAGAGTAGAACTGCCCTTGTGGGTTTCTGAGACTGTAACTTTTTTTTTAATCGTTTAATTAGGGGCTCATACAACTCTTATCACAATTCATACAGACATCAATTGTGTAAAGTACATTTGTACATTCATTGCCCTCATCATTCTCCTCTCTATCTAAGCCCCTGGCATCAGCTCCTCATTTTTTCCCTCCCTCCCTCCACCCCTCCCTCATGAATGCTTGATAATTTATAAATTATTATTTTGTCATATCTTGCCCTCTACGATGTCTCCCTTCACCCACTTTTCTGTTCGTCCCCCAGGGATGGGATTATATGTAGATCCTTGTAATCGGTTCCCCCTTTCCAACCCACCCTACCTCTGCCCTCTCAGTATCGCCATTCACACCACTGGCCCTGAATTTCCTGTATTTCCATTTCCTATCTGCACCAGTGTACATCCTCTTGTCTAGCCAGACTTGCAAGGTAGAATTGGGATCATGATAGTGGGGGGTGGGAGCATTTCGGAACTAGAGGAGAGTTGTATGTTTCATCGCTGCTACATTGCACCCGACTGGCTCGTCTCCTCCCCGCGACCCTTCTGTAAGGGGATGTCCAGTCGCCTACAAATGGGCTTTGGGTCTCCAACCCGCACTACCCCCCTCATTCACTATGATAAGATTTTTTGTTCTGATGACGCCTGATACCTGATCCCTTTGACATTCCCTGATCACACAGGCTGGTGTGCTTCTTCCATGTGGGCTTTGTTGCTTCTGAGCTAGATGGCTACTTGTTTACCTTCAAGCCTTTAAGACCCCAGACGCTATATCTTTTGATAGCAGGGCACCATCAGCTTTCTTCACCACATTTGCCTATTCATCCATTTGTCTTCAGTGGTTGTGTTGCGAAGGTGAGCAGCATAAGAATGCCAATTTAATAGAGGAAAATATTCTTGCATTGAGGGAGTACTTGAGTGGAGGCCCAAAGACTGTAACTTTTACTGGAGTAGAAAACCTCATTTTTCTCACTCAGAGCTGCTGGTAGTTGTAAACAGCTGACCTCATACATCCTAATGTTTAACCACTACACCTTCAGGGCTTCATATATTTATATATAATATTAAACTGTGTTTTCAGCAAAGGGTTGCATAACAGTTTAGGTTCCCCTTCAAAAATTTCTACAGAAATGATTCAGTGACATTCTTAACAACGCGTGAACATTCTCATTGTTTCCATTCTGGTTGCTTCATTTATATCAATCTACTTTCCTTGCATTCTCACCTTAGTTTTGAAGTAATTGTTGAGCCATCTAGGTGATTTTTTAAAATCACAGTCCTTATGAGTCACTTATTATTTTTTAGCTAATCTGTGACCTCAGGGATTAGTGAGTATTCAAGGTCTGAAGAGCACCTTGGGGCAACAGTCTCAAGGAGTCTTCCTGTCTCAACCAGTCCAGCAAGAAAACACTAGGCACTTCTGCAGTTTGTGTAGAGTGAAGCAGATTTGCTAGGTCCACTGGCTGATATGGGGCAGTAGTTGACACTACAGTTCATCTAGCCCATGGTTTCTCTTCCTTCAGCTTCTCCAACTGAAGTGACAGAATGTGCAGCTCCTGAGGCAGCATTTATGTCCAAAACTCCTCCATCTCTCCACGTGGGAAAAATGAGTATCTTTAGACTGTCCAGTACCTCAGTCAGACTAGTGATTTCTGATTGCTTTCTATTCTATGCATCCATCTCTAGCAAATATAGTGTTACATCCACTGGCTTTTACAATTTTCTAATATAGCTTCCTAGGAACTGTTCCTTTTAGTTTCTTTTCAGAATAAGATCTTGAATTCCATTATAAATATAATCTGGTATATTTCTCACCATATGAAAGCTAGTGAAGAATTCATATTAATTTTCAACTCACTCATACAACTGAATTCAGATATGTTATAATTGCTACATTACCCTCTTACTTTCAAATTTGTGAAGCTCTTTGATGCTTTCTGTTTTAATATGCATGGGCACATATAATATCTTATTTGGAAATCATCTGACCACACTTTTGCTTTCCAGCATCTATAGATAAAACCATATCCTTAGTTAGGCTCCTAATTAAATGCGTTAAGAGATATCTTAACATTTAATCCTCCTTTCAGTACTTGGTCAAGGTGCATTATTCTGTGAATATGCTACTCTGGATTCTGTTTGCTAATGGATTTTTCCACTTATGTTGCAAGGCAACCACATCTGTGACCAGTGCCAATTATTCTCTGGGCGAGAGACAGAAAAGCAGGAAATGTGTTTTACAAACATCACTAAAAAGCCATTCATAGGCCTAGGGACACAGCAGCAAGGATGAGGGCGGGGCAAACACAGATACAAGGGATACTCCTCAACCAAAATCACTTGGACCATTTAGTTTCCAAGACTAGGGAGTTCCACCTTCTTCAAATTTACAACCTTGCCTGGACTACCCACCCCCACCCCTGCCTCTGTTCCCTACAAGTCTCCCACAGTTATCCAAAGTAAAGATTCACCAAGCTCCTCCTATTCCAATCACTCCTTTAGAGAGAACCTTGGAAACTCGCGCCTGCGCACTCGAGGGATAGGGCCTGAAACAGCAGTCTGCGCAGGCGCCAAACTCCCTAGTCCGCGGCTGCTCTGCCCTGCCCGGGACCGCCTCCACGGACACGCACTTCCGGAAGGGTCTTGGGACCACATCAGACAAGCTCCAGACGACCAGACAGAGCCAGACCAGCGCAATGGACGGTCGTGTGCAGTGCATGAAGAATCTCGTGTCTCGGCCTAGAAGGTCCCAGGCGCGTCGGTGGAGAAATCCGATCCCCTTTCCCGAGACCTTTAATGGCGACACCGACCGGCTCCCGGAGTTCATCGTGCAGACGGGCTCCTACATGTTCGTGGACGAGAAGATGTTCTCCAACGACGCCCTGAAGGTGACGTTCCTCATCACCCGCCTCACGGGGCCCGCCCTGCAGTGGGTGCTCCCCTACATTAAGAAGGACAGCCCCCTCCTCAGCGACTACCGGGGCTTCCTGGCCGAGATGAAGCGGGTCTTTGGCTGGGAGGAGGACGAGGACTTCTAGGTCGGACTCCCTGCGCCCCGGATGAGGCGCCAGGGACGGTCCCCTGCGCGCCCCGGACCTGCGCCGCCGCCGCCGCCTCCGCCGCGGGCGCCTTCCGCCCCCACCTGCCCGCCCCGCTCTCCGCCTGCTACCACTCCCGCGTAGTGCTTGCCTTTGTTCCGGAAATAGCGCCCCAGGTCCCCCCCGCTGCTGCTGCCACCACCCAGCCTGTGTCCAGAACCCCGGCTGCCACCTTCTGGGCAGGCCCAGCCCAGCCCTCCCTGCGCAGCAGCTGCCTGCAGGGCTCCTGCCACACACTGGACTGACCAACACCGCAGGCCATTGCCAGCCGCCCCCGGACCGGATGACCAGAGATCAGCGCTGCCGCCACCAAGTCTGACTTCCCACCAGCAGACTGACCCTTGGCCCTCAGGACTGGCCTGGGTAGAACCTGAGCTGGCCGCGACCCCTGGACAATGGTTCAGACAGCCCACAACTTCCTTGAAATGGGGACTAGCTTTTCCCCTTGAGCAGGCTCCATTCCCTCTCCCTTTTGTCTCTGCAGCTTTGTCTCAGATGTAAGATGTGTGCCTTTCCCTCAAAAGATGACCCATGCTCTCTGCCCAGCTCCTCAACTCTACCTGGATGAAAATCTCTTTTTAATTATTATTTTAATTTTCATTAAACACTAGACACTGATTAAAAAAAAGGTTGTGTCTCAATATTTATGGCGTCTCTCTCCCTGTTCTTGGAAATGGGGTGGGTGGATGTCTTGTTCAGAAACTGTTCCCACCCTGAAAGATCCTTGGCCGTGTGACCTCTTGCTTTAGGAACAGGAAAGGGGGTTGTCTGTGGCGGTGCTGGGAAGGGGAGCCCACTGGGGCCCGCTCTGCCTGAGGGCGATGCTACTCAGCCCTTCAGGGTGACTCCACTCACCCTAGAACCTTGACCGTGACCTGCACTGCCCACAGCCACGTCACCTTAAGTCCACTGCTGGGCTTTTTGGAAAAGGTTTTCACATTTCCAAGATCGCTTTGAGAATACAACTCCCAAATTATGATGGACCATGTTCTTCCACAGCTTGTCCTGTTATCTAGGGAACCAGCAGAAAGAGGGGCTTTTGAAAAAACACCATATTTTTACACAGATTGTAAATGAGGCCAATTAATATTTTATTTAACCCATTATCCAGGGTACCAGCAGAATGAAACAGATGCTTTTTCGAGTACAAAACAGCATTTACTGTTACACAAAATCCTGATTTTCTAGGAAGTGGCAAACAAAGAAATGAGATTGTTAAATCTGCTACAAAAGTTGTCCCATCAATTTTCTGCACAAGTGAGCTTTTACATTTATTTTTATTTATTTATTTGAAAAGTAGCTGTCTTTAATCATCAAAATTGTCCTAACCCAGGGGGAAGAGAACTTAGCCTAAACACAAAAAGGGTGGGACTTCCTCTTACTGATTTCAGAGGCTAGGAGAGGGGGGGAAAGAAAGAGAATCCAGAGCTCAGATCCTGCTTTTTAATTTTTTCTCCCAAATTTTACTCATTTCATTGTTGAATAGGCTAGCTTTTTTTCTTTACATTTTACTTGTGAATATATGCACAGCAACATCTGCCCTCTGTTCCCTCAATAATTGTTGATCAAATAAAGTTAAATGTTCTGATAATCATGATCCTCAGGTGAGCTTGTAGAAACACCTTTTTGTGGTATTAAAGGGTCAGAACCTGGGAAAGAAGAGTGCATCATCAGTTTTCCGTTTGTTTCGTGTATGTGTGGTGATAGGTTTATTGTGCCAACCTGGCCAATAGGAACAGGAACATGTAGGATTAATCAGGTTGCAGTTTGATTGGAAGGCAAAGAGAAAAATAGCTCAGCAAGGCCCACCCCGCGCCCTCTGGCTCTCTGTTGATGGGAACATGCATGCTAGAGCTAGTTCTCTGCCTCAACTTGTAGGCTACACTACTTGTGGGCCAGGCCAATTCATGAATCATGTTGCTAGAGCTTTAGGCTCCTTTGAAACGTGCTTAGCCACACTGCTGGTGCATACATTGCTTGAGCTTGATGCTGGTGGATCCTGGCACCTTCCATTGCTTGTGTTAGATATCCATTCTGGGCCTGCTTCACAAAGTTCCTGAGCTCCCGACTGCTGGTGACCCACCCTGCTGCTTGCTGCCTGTGGGCAGACTCTGCTTGCCTTGCCAAAGGGAGGACTCTTCTGTCTGCTTCCTTGACACAGGAGCCCACATGAGTTGAAGGACTTACAGTATATTGACGGTTGCACAGAAGTGAGTTGAACTGAACCCTCTCTACTACTCTGTGGACTTATTAGCTGTTCTATTCCTTCTCACTGTATAAGCCTATCCATATATATATATATATATATGTATATATATAATACCAAATAATATATAATAACAAGAGCAGCAACAACAAGAACCACAGGACCAAGATGTGAATGGAACATGCCGGCATGGAGTAGGGAAACAGTGGAGAGGTCTGGGGGGCTGGCCCCAATCCCAACTACTAAGTGGACACCTGCCCCTCCCTCCAGAAGAATTTATTTCAAAGGACAGCATTGAATCTGCAGCTCCTGGAGAGGGACATATCTGATTGGAGCACAAGGGAGCTGATGAAGGGGGAAGAGGAGAGAGTGGAGCACAACCTGGTCCACCAGGCCATGAGGACTATGTTCCCAATTAGAGCAGCCAGTCCACAGAGAGGACCACATGGCTGGCCCCACTAGGAGACATGACCCCCCTCACTGACCCATAGCCCTACAGGGGACAACACCTGAGACACGGTGTGGGAATTGCACCTGATCTGATCCCGCCACA